TTGAAAGCAGCAGGAGTTAAAAAAAAACAAAAACAAAAACAAAAACTAACTCATTTCTTACTAGGTAATGTTCAGAGGCTTTCAGCAGGTTTCTTACAGAAACCGTGCAGGCCAGGAGAGTGGAAATAATATAATTAAAGTGCTGAAAGGATAAAACTGACACCCAAGAATACTTGAATTGGCAGAAGTAATAACAAACTTAAGAAGATTGAAGTCACATCAGGTTATCTTTTCCAATCACAGTGGAAACCAGCAACAGGAGGAAAACTTGAAAAATGCACAAATATGTGGAAATTAAACAACACACTGTGGAATAACCAGTGAGTCAAAGAGAAATCAAAAGGGGAATAAAAATATATTTTGAGATAAATGAAAATAGAAACACAACATACTGAAACTTATGGGATGCAGCAAAAACAGTTCATATTACATTAAGAAACAAGAAAGATCTAAAATAACCCAACTTCACACCTCAAGAACTAGAAAAAGAAGAATGAATCCTAAAGTTAGCAGAAGAAAGAAAAAAAGATTGGAGCAAAAATACATGAAATAAAGACTATAAAAACAGTAGGAAAGATCAATGAAACTAAGCTAGTTTGCTGAAAAGTTAAACAAAATTGACAGGGCTCTAATTAGACCTTTAAAAAAGCACTCAAATAAAATTAGAATAGAAAGAGGAGACATTACAACTGATACCATGGTAATACAAAGAATCATAAGAGACTACTGTGAACAGTTATACTCCAACATATTGGGTAATCTGGGGGGGGGGGGGGGGAATGTATAAATTTCTAAAAGCATACAACCTACCAAGACTGACATAATAAAGGCCATATATACAAGCCCACAGCCAACATCATACTCAATGGTGAAAAGCTGAAAGGTTTTCCTCTTAGGTTAAGAACAAGACAAGGATGCCTATTCTTACCACTTCTATTGAACATTGTGTTGGAAGTCCTAACCAGAGCAGTTAGGCAAGAAAAATAAATAAGGAGCATTGTGATCAGAAAGGAAGAATAAAATTGTCTGTTTGCAGATGACATACCTTATATATAAAAAATCATAAAGACTTCACTTAAAAACAGTTAGAACTAATAAATGAACTCAGTGAAGTTCCAGGATACAAAATCAACATACAAAAATCAGTTGTATTTCCATATACTAACAGAGAACTATCTGACATAAATGAAAAAAGCAACCCCATTTCCAGTAGCATCAAAAACAATAACATACTTAGGAATAAATTTCACTAGGGAGATGAAGACCTATACACTAAAAACTGTGGGACATTGGTGAAAAAGTCTGAAATAAGTGGAACAATATCCTGTGTTGCTGGATTGGGAGAATTAATATTGTTAACATGTCCATACTACCCAAAACCATCGACAGAGTCAATGTAACCCCTGTCAAAATTCCAGTTGCATTTTTCACAGAAATAGGAAAAACAATCTTAAAATTTATATGGAATCACAAAAGAACCCACATAGTCAAAGCAATCTTGAGAAAGACAAAGCTGGAAGCATCTCAGATCTTAATTTCAAACTATATTGCAAAGCCATAGTAATCAAAACAGTGTGGTACCAGCATAAAAGCAGACAGATGAATATGACAGAATAGAGAGCCCATGCACATATGATCAATTAACCTATGACAAGGGTGCCAGCACACAAAAGGGGGAAAAGATAGTCTCTTCAATAAATGGTGCTGGGAAAATTAGATATCCACATGCAGAAAAATGAAAGTGGATCCCTATCTCACACCATTAAGGAAAATCAGCTCAAAATGGACAAAAGACTTAAACATAAGACATTGATACCATCAAACTCCCAGAAGAAAACAGGAAAACCTCCTTGATACTGGTTGTAGCGAGATTTTTTTTGCACCTGACACCAAAAACACAATCAACAAAAGCAAAACTTGGAAGTGGGACCACATCAAACTAAAAAGCTTCTGCCCAGCAGAAGAAGCTGTTGACAGAACGAAAAGGCAACTTCTAGGATAGGAGAACATATTTGTGAATCATGTATCTAATAAGAAGTCACTATCTAAAATATGTAAGGATCTCGCACAGCTTAATAGCAAAACAACAATAAATAATTCAGGTGAAAAGTGGGCAGAGGGCATGAGAAGTTTCTCGAAGACATACAGATTGCCACCAGGTGCCTGGCAAGGTGCTGACCATCACTAATCACCAGGGAAATGCAATTCAGAACCACCATGAGATATCACCTGACCCCTGTGAGGATGGCTATTTCAAAAAAGACAATAGATAGCAAGTGCTGGAGAGGCTGTGGAGAAAAGGGAACCCTGTATACCATTCGTGGGAATGTAAATTGATGTAGCCACAATGGAAGTTCCTAAAAAAAAAAAAAAAAAAAGAACTACCTTATAACCCAGCAATTCACTTCTGGGTATGTAGCAAAGGAAGTGAAATCACTCTCGGAGAGATACCTGCCACTTACATGTTCATTTCAGCACTATTCCAATAGCCAAGATATGGAAACTAAGTGTCAACACTTGAATGGATACAGAAAATGTAACTATGTGTACACTAGGATGCTAACCAGCCTTACAAAGAAGGAGATCCTGCCCCTTGTGACAGCAGAGATGAACATGGAGGTCATTATCTACGGGAAATAAGCGAAAGAAAGATAGACACTGTATGATCTCTATTATATGTGGAATCTGAGGGGAAAAAAACAAAGTCAGAACTGAGGAGGGGCATGGCAGTTGTCAGAGGCACAGACTGAAGGAGAAGCATTTGACCATCTCAGTAGGTGGAGGAAAGCATTTGATGAAATTCAGCATTCATTCATGGCTTTATTATTTTTTACAGTACAGTATGACTTTATTTAAAGATGAAAACAAACACAAAACCAAATTATTTGTTTCTGTGTAGCTACAGTAATGCCGAAGAAGAGAGAGGAGGTTGGAGAATAAGAGAATCAAAGTGGTTTTATTGGATTTGTTTTGCTATTTGGCAATGAGAATGTCCTCCTGTATTACCTGTGTTTACATTTTTTGGGAATGAGCACTTTTCGAATGATAAAGGCCGCAGGAGACTTGTTCCTGTCCGCTCTGCTTGTTCTGGCTTCATGGTCAAGCAACTTAGACACCCACCATTCTCACCCAAAGTTCAGCAATATTTTACTAAATACATGCTTCTCAATTTGTTGTATGCCTTTGGTTTATTCCAAAGTTCTCAAATAATTGTTGTTTTGCAGTAAGTATTTTGTCCAGTTTTATGGTTTTTTGGAGGAGGGGTTGCCAGGCTTTTCACCCACCATTGCCAGAACTCAGTCATTTAATTTTTTTCTGAGCTGATATTTTCCCGAGCGAATGCTTTCATTTCTATGGAGTCTGTAGTATCATCCCAGGGTTGCCATAACGAGGTATCCCAGACTAGGGGACGTAGAACCACAGAAATGTATTTCCTCACAGTTTGGGAGCCCAGAAGGCAGATCAAGGTGTGCACAGGACGTGACGCCCCAGAGGGGTCTGTCCCTGCCTTTCTCTAGCTTCTGGTGGTGGCCATCGCCAGCTCCTTGGCTCTGAGGCGCAGCGCTCTGGTCTCGGCCTCTGAGGTCACGGGGGTTCTCCCGTGTGCGTGTCCTTTAGTGACTTTAAATAACAGGAGCATAGGTATAAAAGTGCGTTTGTTTAATCAGGTCAAGGACTTTTTTAAAACGTCTTTTATTTATTTATTTTTAATCCTCACCTGAGGATATTTTCCCGTTGATTTTCAGATACAGTGGGAAGGAAGAAGGGAGGGAGGGAGAAAGAGAGAGAAACATCCACATGAGAGGGACACATCAACTGGCTGCCTCCCGACTGACCCTGACCAGGGCTGGAGACCGAACCGCAACCAAGGTACGTGCCCTTGACCAGAATCAAACCCGCGGCTCTCTGGTCCGTTGGCTCACGCTCCAACTGCTGAACCAAAATGGCCAGGGCAAGGATTTCTATTTGAAAGCAATCGCACATATTCTTACTTGGTGGTGTATTGGATGCTTTCTCTTTGACTGGAGAGTGTGTGAGGGGACACATCGTTGGCCCTTGTTTTCAGGATCCTGCTGGAGGTCCCAGGTAGCAGGACAGAGAGAAGGCAGGAGGGAGAGGAGGAAGGGAGAAGAAATGATGAAGAGAGGATTTCTGTGGGTGGGACCCACCTCACTCTCTGGTGCCTTCCAGGTGACTCCATCCTGCAGCCCAGTTTAAGAGGGCGCCCTGCCACGTCGCACCTGTCTCGGGTGGTCATGCAGAAGCTGTACTTGTCATTTGAAGAAAATGCTGTTCATTGCAAAACAAGGTTTTCCCGAGCCAAGTTTTACTGGTTTGGGGTGGTATCAACTTAAGGTATCCATTCTTCTGTCATTGTTCCCATGCGAACTACTCACATGGAAAGAGAGACGTAATTTGTGCCACGCAGTGAGATGTGCAGAGCGCATCGTGATTCCGGCTTCTACGTGGAATTCGGGTTGGTGCTGCAGAGAAGGTGCTGTTCCTTCGAACATTACTGCTTTGTATTACAGATTTACACAGAATAAGATAACTATCTTATTCTTTCTTTTTTTCTTTTATTGATTTTAGAGACAGAGGAAGGGAGAGGGAGGGAGAGATAGAAACATCAATGAGAGAGAACATTGATGGGCTGCCTCCTGCATGCCCCCCACTGGGGATCGGGCCCACAACCTGGGCATGTGCCCTGACCAGGAATCGAACCAGTGACCTCTTGGTGCAGGGTTGATGCTCAACCACAGAGCCACACCGGCCAGGCAACTATCTTATTCTTAACTATCTTACTCTGAGAAGTCCTTGCTGTGAAATGTATTGCATTGGGGCAAATGATCATTCTTCCCAAGGCACGTGTTCATAGGGCTCCCCTGTTGTGGGGCTGACGCGTCAGGAGGAAAGGAGAGACCGGTGTGTGGGTGCTGCAGCTCAGAGGGCCTGTTTCTGGCCAGCACAGGCCGGTACAGGGCACTTTTCCTTTCTTCTAGATCCAGCACCCTGTAGAGACCAGTTGCCCTTGAAGGAACAACCTGGTGTCCTGGCCGGTTTGCAGCTTCTGAACCAAGCAGGCTCCAGGGACACCTCTGGGGCCCCACCAGCCCCTTCGGTGCCATCCTCCCCTCCTGTGACTGCTGTTCCCCAGGAGACGGCTACACCCACGGCCAGCCCCAAGCCAGAGCCAGCAAGGGGGGCTGCCACGCAGGCAGGGGACCCCGTGACTTCTCAGGGGATGGCCAGCCAGGGTGACGCTTCCCAGCTGCTGGCAGAGACTCACGATGCCCAACCTGCTGCAAGGCCCTTGGATGTGGCCCGAGGACCTTGCGTTTCCCCTCCGGAGACCCCCCATCACCCCACAGGTCTCGGGGAGCCTGCCTCAGCCAGGGAGGCCAATACCCAGATGGAGACCCTGCCAGCTCCAGCCCCTGTGCCCAGTGCCTCTGGCGAGACCCCTCAGCCTGCCCCAGGCCAGTCCCTACCTCCACTCCCTAATGTGGTGGGGGCTGTCGGCCTGGCTACACCCCAGCTCCCAAGCCCTCCACTGGGGTCCAGCACCCTCCCCCAGCCTGTGTCAGCCTTGGAGTCGGACGGTGAAGGGCCGCCCCCCCGGGTGGGCTTTGTAGACAGCACCATCAAGAGCCTGGATGAGAAGCTACGGAATCTGCTCTATCAGGAGCATGTGCCCACCTCCTCCGCTTCAGCTGGGACCCCTGTGGAGACGGGCGACCGAGACTTTGCCCTTGAGCCCCCGACAGGGGATCTGCCCTACACAGAGGCCCCCAGGGGGGACCAGGCCTTGCCACCCCAGCTTCTGGTGAGTACTGGCCTGCCTAGAGGTGCCGTTCTGGGTGGGGTCTGAACAGGGGCGGAGGGCCGCTCCAGGCTGGCCATGCAGAGCGCCTCACTCTAGCCCGGCTGTCCTCTCAGAGACCCGCCTCTGAGCTCTACCTGTCCAGTGTGTTTTGCAACAAATGGCCTGTTTGGGGACACAAGGTGTGCGTGTGCAGGGTCAGGACCCAGCTGGGACCAACTGGTGTGTGGACCGCCTGGGACGGGGCCTACTCCAGCCCCTGGAGGAGGAGCCCAGCCCTGGGGTGGGAGGGGGGATATGCAGTTTAGCTGCAGAGATGTCGTCAAGTGAGGCCTTTGGCTCTTTCCTTTCTGTTTCTTCCTCCAGCTGGACAAGTCTGAACTGGCCTCTGGGCTCACGGCTGCGTTGGAGCAGGCCTCGTCCTCACCAGTGACAGGTGATGAGCCCCACGTCACTGGCCCTGTCCCCATTCCTCCCTGCTCCAGAGCACTCTGTATCCCCACCCTGCGTCCCCCAGCATCTTGGACGGGGACCAGACATGGCAAAGTCCGTCGTGATGCATTAGTGTGCATTCATGTACCAAAGAGAGCGTCCACGGTCTGAGGAACAGGTGACAGCCCCCTCTGCCTGGCTGGAGGCTCTGTCAGCCCTGTCACCACCCAATGGCGTTCTTTTGTGGCATGTGGGTCTCAGCTTGGTCCAGTCTTCCACACGCCAGCTTGTTCTGTTCTGTCATTTACACTTTATAGCATTTCTGCGATGGGGGGTCAGAAGTAACATGCTGTGTTCCCATGTTGTAGATGGGGAGACTGAGACAGCCTTGGATGACATGGGTTTTCCCTACATATGAGCAGCAGGGGTAGGGATCCGCCCAGTTCATACACTCCTTCCAGGGTCTCATGAGATTCGTTTCTTATCAGAACATGTCAGGGAGAGAGAAGGTGATGCCATCAGGTGTGTAGAGATGACAGGTGAGACAGGGTGACACCATCAGGTGTGTAGAGGTGACAGGTGAGACAGGGTGACGCCATCAGGTGTGTAGAGGTGACAGATGAGACAGGGTGACGCCATCAGGTGTGTAGAGGTGACAAGTGAGACAGGGTGACGCCATCAGGTGTGTAGAGGTGACAAGTGAGACAGGGTGACGCCATCAGGTGTGTAGAGGTGACAGGTGAGACAGGGTGACGCCATCAGGTGTGTAAGGTGACAGGTGAGACAGGGTGACGCCATCAGGTGTGTAGAGGTGACAGGTGAGACGGTGACGCCATCAGGTGTGTAGAGGTGATAGGTGAGACGGTGACGCCATCAGGTGTGTAGAGGTGACAGGTGAGACAGGGTGACGCCATCAGGTGTGTAGAGATGACAGGTGAGACAGGGTGACGCCATCAGGTGTGTAGAGGTGACAGGTGAGACAGGGTGACGCCATCAGGTGTGTAGAGGTGACAGGTGAGATGGTGACGCCATCAGGTGTGTAGAGATGACAGGTGAGACAGGGTGACGCCATCAGGTGTGTAGAGGTGACAGGTGAGACGGTGACGCCATCAGGTGTGTAGAGATGACAGGTGAGACGGTGACGCCATCAGGTGTGTAGAGGTGACAGGTGAGACAGGGTGACGCCATCCGGTGTGTAGAGGTGACAGGTGAGACAGGATGACGCCATCCGGTGTGTAGAGGTGACAGGTGAGACAGGGTGACGCCATCAGGTGTGTAGAGGTGACAGGTGAGACGGTGACGCCATCAGGTGTGTAGAGATGACAGGTGAGACAGGGTGACGCCATCAGGTGTGTAGAGGTGACAGGTGAGACAGGGTGACGCCATCCGGTGTGTAGAGGTGACAGGTGAGACAGGGTGACGCCATCAGGTGTGTAGAGGTGACAGGTGAGACAGGGTGGCGCCATCAGGTGTGTAGAGGTGACAGGTGAGACAGGGTGACGCCATCAGGTGTGTAGAGGTGACAGGTGAGACAGGGTGACGCCATCAGGTGTGTAGAGGTGACAGATGAGACAGGGTGACGCCATCAGGTGTGTAGAGGTGACAGGTGAGACAGGGTGACGCCATCAGGTGTGTAGAGGTGATAGGTGAGACAGGGTGGCGCCATCAGGTGTGTAGAGGTGACAGGTGAGACAGGGTGACGCCATCAGGTGTGTAGAGGTGACAGGTGAGACAGGGTGACGCCATCAGGTGTGTAGAGGTGACAGGTGAGACAGGGTGATGCCATCAGGTGTGTAGAGGTGACAGGTGAGACAGGGTGACGCCATCAGGTGTGTAGAGGTGACAGGTGAGACGGTGACGCCATCAGGTGTATAGAGGTGACAGGTGAGACAGGGTGACGCCATCAGGTGTGTAGAGGTGACAGGTGAGACAGGTGAGACAGGGTGACGCCATCAGGTGCGTAGTGGGCCTTGCTGTGCTGAGGGTCCAGAGCATGTACCTGCAGGGACTCCAGTGAAATTGGGCTGATGCCTTCTTTCTTCCCCAGGTTCTGGGGTGTCCCCTGTGCAGCAGGGGCAGGAGGTTAGGACAGCGTCTCACTGTGGCCCCCTCGCTCCCACCAGCTGCCCCCCCCCCCCCCCGTGACTCTGCTGGCCTTGAGCCATTCCTGCCTTGTCCTTGGCCTCAGCCCAAGGAATGATTTTTTTTTTTTTTTTTTAATCCTCACCCGAGGACATTTTTCCATTTTTTTGTTCAGGTAGAGTGGGAGGGAGAGAGAGGAACAGAGAGAGAGAGAGAAACATCGATGTGAAAGGAACACATCGAGTGGCTGCCACCCGCACAACCAACCAGGGCCGGGGACAAACTGCAACCGAGGTACATGCCCTTAGCGGGAACCGAACCCGGGTCTCTCAGGACTGCAGGCCAACGCTCTAACCGCTGAGCCAAACCGGCCAGGGCCCAAGGAATGATTTTACTCTCTCTGCAGCAGCAGCGTCTGCCAGCAGTGCGCTGGGCTCGGATGGAGGACAGGCGGCCGCGGGCTCCCCTGCGACTCCCGCTGCCCCTCAGGTAGGTAGTTTTCCAGGCTGAGATAACGAGGTGCTGGGCCCGTCGGCGCAGGCTGCTGTCCGCTGGTGTTCGCATGGAATCGTTCCCTCCCCTCTTTCCCAAGGACGCTCCCGCTTCCACTGGCCCTGCACGTCCGGAGCTCACAGGTCGCAGCGGCGGGGTCCCTGGGGAAGCCTCCGCCGAGCCTGCGCAGCGCTGCCCCCGGATGCTGACCAAGGGCAGTCAGGCCAGCCGCCCCCAGACGCACAGCACTCTGACCTCAGGGTCCCCTTGGAAGCAGCCAGGACAGCAGGATGGCAGCTCGCCAGCCAAGACCGTGGGCCGGTTCTCTGTAGTGAGCACCCAGGATGAGTGGACCCTGGCCTCCCCCCACAGTCTGCGGTACTCGGCCCCACCTGATGTGTACCTGGAGGAGGGGCCCCACAGCCCCGATGTGAAGCTGGCCCTGCGGCGTGTGCAGACGGCTTCCTCCATCGAGGTCTGCCCCGGCGAGCCTGTGTCCAGTGACTCGGGGGACGAGTGCCCGCACAGGAGGGCCCCTGTGCTCAAGCACGGCTCCCTGCCCAGGAGCAGTGGCAGTGTGGCTAGCGACTTCGTGAGGAAAGCCACTGCCTTCCTGCACAGGTCCTCAAGGGCTGGCTCCCCTGGCCCCGAGACACCCAGCAGGATGGGTGTGAAGGTCCCCACCATCAGCGTGACCTCCTTCCATTCCCAGTCTTCCTACATAAGCAGCGACAATGACTCAGAGATCGAGGATGCCGACATCAGGAGGGAACTGCAGAGTCTGCGAGAGAAGTAGGTCCCGGGAAATGGGCAGCCTGCTGGCACAGGGGTCCCGGCCGCATAGTTAGGGCATAGTAGGCACCTGCCGTCCAGGTCCCACCATGTACCTGTGGGCCAGGTGATGGGGCAGCTCCCTGGTGGCCTGGCACCTGGTCTTGGGGCTGTGCCTCTGCACTTCCCCTGGCTGCCCCCTGATCCCGTGGCTGCCCCCTGATCCCGTGGCTGCCCCCTGCTCCTGTGGCTGCCCCCCTGCTCACGTGGCTTCCCCCTGATCCCGTGGCTGCCCCTGATCCTGTGACTTCCCCCTGCTCACGTGGCTGCCCCTGATCCCGTGACTTCCCCCTGCTCCTATGTCAGCCCCTGCTCCCGTGGCTGCCCCCTGCTCCCGTGGCTGCCCCCTGCCCCCGTGGCTGCCCCCTGCTTCCGTGGCTGCCCCCTGATCCTGTGTCAGCCCCTGCTCCTGTGTCAGCCCCCTGATCCCATGGCTGCCCCTGATCCCATGACTGCCCCCTGCTCCCGTGTCAGCCCCTGATCCCGTGGCTGCCCCCTGCACACGTGGCTGCCCCTGCTCATGTGGCTGCCCCTGCTCCCGTGGCTGCCCCCTGCTCCCGTGGCTGCCCCCTGCTCCCGTGGCTGCCCCTGCTCACATGGCTGCCCCCTGCTCCCGTGGCTGCCCCCTGCTCCCGTGGCTGCCCCTGCTCATGTGGCTGCCCCTGCTCCCGTGGCTGCCCCCTGCTCCCGTGGCTGCCCCCTGCTCCCGTGGCTGCCCCTGCTCATGTGGCTGCCCCTGCTCCCGTGGCTGCCCCCTGCTCCCGTGGCTGCCCCCTGCTCCCGTGGCTGCCCCTGCTCCCGTGGCTGCCCCCTGCTCCTGTGGCTTCCCCCTGCTCCCGTGGCTGCCCCCTGCTTCCGTGGCTGCCCCTGCTCCCGTGGCTGCCCCTGCTCCCGTGGCTCTCAGCAGGGCAGCCCAGGGTCATTCAGACCTAGGCCCTCGTCACACTCCCTCTGCACAGGCTGCCTGCTAGCACCTCTTCAGGGTCCCTTAGATGAGCTGCACCCTGCAGTCTCCTGGGGGGAGGGACCACAGTGTAGGGACCACAGTGTAGTCACTAAGGTGGGGAGAGGCTGGTGTCCTTGGGAAGGAAGGCCTATGGGTTGACAGCTCGTGGAGTGGACCCAGAAACCACCCACAGGCCCCAGGAGCTGGAGCAGCCCTTCTCTCACCTCCTCCCTCTGGGGGGTGCGGCAGGGCTGTGCCTGCTGGGAGGGGGTGGGAGACCTGCCTGCTGGGCCTGGACCCTGTCCCGCCGGCCCCACCCCTTGGGGGCTGGCCCCACCCTTCCCCAGCCCCTTGTCCCAGCTGTGGGAGGTCAGAACTAGCTCTGGGGCACCAGGACTTGGAGCTCCCTCCCTTGGTGCCTGTGACAGCAAAGGCTGGGCATGGAGTGGCCATCGAGGCCCCAGGTTCATCCAGGGATGTGGCGTCCAGGAGGCAGGGGGGCAGGGACTAGTCGGCTCTCTGAGGCGGGTCAGCAAGAACAGGGACAAGGAGGGGAACTGCAGAGGAGTGGGAGGGTCTGTGTACTCTGAGGGCGGCTGGAGGTGAGGGGCAGGGCCTGGGGTGAGGGGCGTGGCCTGGGGTGAGGGGCGTGGCCTGGAGGTAAGAGGTCCTGCAACCTGGGGAGCAGGCAGGGCCTAGATGTGAGGGGGTGAGGCATGGAGATGCAGGGGAGAGGGGGGAGGGGAGGGGAGAGAGGAAGAAGCACCTCAAAGGACTGGATTCTAGGAGCCAGTGAAAGGGGGAAATCGAGGACACCAAGTCCTGGCTCTCTGGCCTGACGGGACAGGGGTGGGCCCCCGTGGGAAGGGGAGACCATTTAGACGGGGATGACATTTGGATCTCAATTGGGGGGATCAATAGCTGCCAGGTAGGAGGTAGCCTTGCATCAGACCCCTGGGCACCCTAAGGGGACATAGGTCTTCACCTGCCCCGGCATTTGCAGTTCTTAGGACTCCCAGGAGCCCCATGATCTGAGGCCCGCCGCATGCCGGGGGCTGGGTAGAAGGAAAGGGTGGGGGTCTCCCCGCAAGTCCTACGTCAAGTGCTCCAGCTGGCCAGGCACACCCTCCCGACTCCAGCTAGCTTTCCTCTCGAACCTGCACCCTGAGGAGCTAACCTGGTGCAGTAGCAGTTTTCCCTGTCGAGACTCGTGTTTCTAAAACAAGCCTGGCGGGTGTGGAAGACATAGTAGGAAAGATTAGAACTTGGCTCTTTGTGTCCAACCACGAAAACACTGATTTCCCAGCCATGCACCAGGGAGGTGGGCCTGGAGCAAGGCTGAGGGGCTGAGCCCTGGCTGGGGCGGCTGGGACCCAGGAGATAGGTGGAGGGGGTGGTGTCCAGCCCTCTGCCACTCGAGGTGCAGGAGGGCAGGAGGGCAGGAGGGTGGGCAAGGGAGGTCCTGAGGGGGCAGCAGGGACCTCTTGGCCCTTCTCTGGCTTGTCCTAGAAACTACAGCCTTGCCCACAGCTGGCGTTGCCACCAGGTCTTAGCACAGGTCACCCATCTGTGTGGCTGTCAGTCCAGCTTTGTGCCCTGGGTTTGGGGGTTTCCTGAGCTGGGGCCCCCTGGCACAGAGGGGCCGGAGCCAGACCCTCAGGTTCCTGGCTGCTGCGTGGACCGGCGCCGGCCAGCACTCCCTCCTCCAAGATGCTCTGGTCTCTCCTCCTGTGTGGGGAGGAGGCGGTACCTGGCACACCGAGGTGGCCTCCCGCTTCTGAGCACTGGTCATTTTTCTTTTCACCTATGTGTATGCACAGGGTTTGTATTGTGAACATCAATGTATGAAGGTGTCGATGCCCTGCTACCCGCTCCAATAAACACCCCACACCCCACACCAAAAAACACAGCAGTGTTCTGAGCCTGGATGGAAAACCCCAGTCTCCTTAGGCTGGTCTCCTGCAGTTTTGTGTCCTTCGATGTTCGTGCCCGGGGCCCCAGGGATTTCCACTTGGGTTCAATGTAAGCAGAAAGAACTTTAAATGCCTGGGGTCTCCAGCCCCATCTGCCCAGGCTGGCCTGTGGGCTGCCCACCCCATTCTCAGGTCTGCCTCCGGCTCTCTGGAAAGGCTGGCCTTATCCATGTAGGATGGAAATGACCAGGAGGCCCGCCTAACACCCCCGCCCCCCGTAGACATCTGAAGGAGATCTCGGAGCTGCAGAGCCAGCAGAAGCAAGAGATTGAAGCCTTGTACCGCCGCCTGGGCAAGACACTGCCCCCCAACCTGGGGCTCTTGCACACTGCGCCCCCCACTGGCCGCCGGAGGAAGACCAGCAGGAGCAAGCTGAAGGCCGGGAGGCTGCTGACCCCACTGGTGCAGCAGCTCAAGGTCGTGGCCTCCAGCACAGGTCGGCCCTGTGCCCTCCTGGCTGCCCTCCCGGGGGGCTGGGCTGGTAGCTGGGCAGGTGGGAGGCAGTGCCCTTTGTGACTCTCCTTTCGTGGGAGGGGAGCCACGGTGGCTCTGGAGGGCTAAGGCATCCGTCCCCAGGCTGTGGCATGAGGAAAGGGCTGCACGTGGGCAGGTCTGCTTGGAGCCCCCAGCCCCCTGTCTGCAGTGTGAGGGAGGAGAGCTCGGGGGGTCCCGAGCTGGGGGCTGCTTGACCCTCTGCTTCTCCATGCAGGGCCCTGCCTGGGACAGGGCTGTGCCCTCTGGCCCGGCTCTCAGACTCTGTCACCTCTGACAGTGGGGATTGAGCAGCTGCCTGGGGGAGGGAGGGTGGTGATGACCCCAGCCCTTAACCACGACGTGGGGCACTGAGGGTGCACACTGACCCCAAGCACCCCCACTCGGGGGGAGACGCAGAGAGGTGAGACCCCCGGTTGTGCCAGGCGGGAAGCTGATGGTAAGCTGACCACAAGCCCTCCCCCTTGGCGTCACATTACCTGCTGGGCAGAGTTCCACCGACACTGTGCCCTTCCTAAAGCTAACGGGAGACTCACTAGAGAGAGGAGGAAGGCGACAGGCCCCTTTTGGCCCAGGTGTGCACCTCCAGACACGCCATGGTCCTTCCACTGCGTGTTTGCAGGTCAAGCCCGACACGGTGTTGTCGACACGTGGAGACTGTGAGCATTTCTATCTTCCCACCACGTGCCCATGCCCTGCGGGAACTCGGCTTCTCCAAGGTCACCCAGCAAAGAGCAGAGGACAGGTGCACCTGCGTTGGCTGGTCTGTCCAGTGGCACCTCATAGTGCCTGTACCCCCTTCTCCCCTCCCAGGTCATTTGTCAGACTGTAGCAGAGCCCCTCCTGCTAAGGACCCCAGCAGACCCGGGGCAGGGCCCGCAGCGGTGGCAGACTCCTGCAGGGAGGCAGTTCAGACCCAGCAGCCTTGCTCCGTGCGGGCCTCCTTGTCTGCAGACATCTGCTCCGGCTCAGCCAGTGATGGAGGCGGAGCGCGTGGCCCAGGTGATTCCCAGCTTGCCTGCCCCCGAGCATGTGCTAGCGCATAGGGCCTGTGGTGGGGGCGTGAGCTGTGGCCGAGGCTGCTCTAAAGAAGCGATCGTAGAGGTAGCCTTTGAAGGCGAGGAGTGGATGGCCCGCCCATCAGTCTTGTTGTACGAGGCTCCGAGGGAGGTGTGCCTGGCTGGAGCGACTGGGCAAGGTCCAAGGACCGTGGACGGCAGACTTGGCATCTGCTGTGGGGTCTGCCAGGGCCCAGGCACTGGCACGCTCTGCCCTGCCCATTTCCTGCTAAACATGGGTCCAGAAGGGTCATGGGGGGACCCGGCACAGCTCTTGAGCTGGGGGTGTGGCCTCGAGGAGGGACGGCTGTGGCCCAGCAGCTGGCGGGGCAGTGCTTCTGCCCGTCTGCCCAGAGCCAGGAGCGGTGGCCGCCGCCCCATCTGGCCCCGCCCCCCGCCCCCGCCCGCTGTCCCGGGTTTGCCTCTCTTCCACTCCACCGCTTCCTCCTTTCCATTATGTGGTCAGTGGCTGTGGTCCTCTGGGCTGGGCGAGGTGCGGCCGTGGATGCTAAGTGACGAGGCGGATGTGGCTGGTGGTAGAGGAGGAAGCCCGACGCTGTACTTGATGCCTGTCTCTGTTCTCTTCCCTCTATATCCATTTGCAGGCTGGACGGTTTCCCACCCAACGTCTGAGAGAGTGACCTATAAGTCTAGTAGCAAACCTCGTGCTCGATTCCTCAGTGGACCCGTGTCTGTGTCCATCTGTCTGTATTTGTTCTTTTGTATTTTATCACCTCCTGGCCCTTGGTTTCTCCCCTCCCCGCTCCCCGTCTTCATTGCCTTCCATACATTGTATAGGACGCCTCCCCGACACCATTGAGCTCACTTATTTAATATCACAAATGGAGCCCGGTCCATCCCCTGCCCCGTCCGGCCCCGGAAAGTCCCCGCGCATGCTCTCAGCTCCTGCCGGGCACCTGTGGCATGTGCAGCGGCCTGCCCACGCCCACCTCGGCTCCGCTCTGCACCTATCTGTCCCGTTTTATTTTTTTTAAATGTTGGACGTACTTTTATTTCCGTGGCGGTTGTGGCCAGTCCACATGCCCACGGCCCCCAGTTCCGCTAGCCCGGCCCTCTCTACATGCATGCCGTGCCCCACGTGGGTCTGGACCACGAAGACATGCATGTAGTGAGCCAAGATGGTGCTGGAAGATCACGGGAGGGTTTGCCTCCGTGCCGGGGCCCACCGCACGCAGCGCTGCCCCGCCCCTCCCGGCATGAGACGTGCTGAGGATGCACGCCGGCGAGGACACCCGGCCCTCTCCGCTCGGCCCGCCCTAGACTCGAGCGCTGCGGGAGCTGACCCCGGTCTCCCGCCGCCCTCACCTGGCCCCACTGCCCTCCCCAGCTCCTGTCGGGCCTCCCTCGTCCCAGGCACCCTAGGGACCGAGTCAGTTACGCAGTCCACCAGCCCACTCAGCCACACCTGTCCTCAGGTTCCTGGAGTGCCCCGTCCCGGGGCGCGTGCCCCATCCCGGGGATGGTGTACCTGCTCAGGGCTGTCCAAATTGGTTTTTTAATCCCTCAGATGGATTGGCGAGGGAATCAAAAGCGGTGGTGGGCTTTTCCAGTTTTTGTGTTTTTGAACAGACAAATTCAGCTTTTTATCAATTGGCTAGGACGTGCTGGTTTGGGGCATGTGGCTTTTCGCTGGTACAATAAAGATACATTGTGCTTGTTGGGTCCTGAGGCCACTTCCCCACGGGCGCCCCCTCGCACCGAGGGCCCCGGGCACCCTCCTCAGGCAGGCGGGACAGGTAGACAGGCCCAGGGACTGCCCAGTGCTCCTCATCCACTGCCAGCGTGGGTCACGGGGCTGCTGGGTAGCTGCCGAGTCAGATGGGGGACCGGAGGCGGGAAGCCTGAGGCCGACTCTCTTCACCCAATGTCCCTCTGCCCGTGTGTGCATGGCTGGCGCCCGGGAAGCTGGGCGCCAGGTGTCTCGGCTCAGATGGGCAGCTGTGCCCCCGCTGGGACGGCCGCTGCCATTTGTGGGGAGCCCAGCCAAGCAGGTGGCGGTTTCCCTGGGGCACTTGCAGTGAAATCCCGAGAGTGAGCCTGCCTCTCAGGACGCCACCTCTTTGCCTTCATGTCTACCTGGTTCTGCTTTTTTTGGGGGGGCTTTCTTTTTCTTCACTATCATTGTTTCCACTTGAAAGAGACACTTGAGGGAGAGCAGGGATGGAGAGGTGAGGTTCTGCTTCTGTCCCGGCCCAGAGGACAGGAGCATGCCAGGCATCGCTTGGTGGCCCCGGGGCCTGGCCCAGGCTGGCTGGCTTGAGGGTGGCGTGTGCTGGCCCGGTCGGCCTGGGGACCTCTTGTGCTGTGAATGTGAGGGCACTGCTGTTCCCACAGCCCGGTCATCTGCAGGCACGTCCCGGCGGAGTCCCTGTCTGCTCAGGCCGTGACGTGGTCCCACCCACTCAGCTTGCTAGTGCGGGGGGTGCTCTGCTCTGGGCCCCCTTACCCACGGCCACGGCCACGGCCACGGCCACGGCCGCGGGGGCAGGAAGACATGAGCTCCCTCCTGCTCTATGGCTGCAGATGCCTCGGGACAGCCCGCCCCTGCCCTTCAGTCCTGGTGCCCACCCTGCTGGCCCGGGGCTCTCCTGTCGCCGCTGCTCTGGGTGACTGAGCAGCAGTGGCTGGAAGGTTGTGCATAGCTGGTCTGGGAGCGCGGAGAGGTTGGCCACGAGGCGGGAGGCAGCCGGAGCCTGAGGTGTGGGGTGGCTGGTCCAGCTTGAGCTGGAGGAAAAGCTGAGAAAGGTTTTTGGTTCCCTGTCTTGAGAGGAACAGGAGACAAGTCTTGGGAAAATGAAATCTGTGTCAAGTTTTGGAGTATAGACGTCCCAGCATCCCTGAGACTCAGAGAAGATGAGAGGGCGGATGGGTGGTGGTACCCAGGGTGGAGCTGTAAGCAGCTCCAGGGCCAGCAGGCGACCCCCTTCCCGGGACGCCGTCCCCGAGGCTGCTGCCCATCCTACAGGATCGTCCTGCCCTGGTGAGCAGTTGGGGCAGCTCGGGCAGGGTGGCAGCCGTGACGGTGCCTTGGTGTCCTGCTGATCAGCAATTGTCAGACCTTTGACCCTCCCGCCTTAGCCTGTCCAGACCAAGGGCCAGGCCCACACCCTCCGGGACCTCTGCCCCGGGAGCCTTGGGCTTTCCTCCCGTGCCTTTGACAACTGCCTGGCCCCTGTTGCCAGGCCCTGCGCTCACCCTGGTGTGTCCTCCTCCCGCCCTGTGGGACCCACGGCTGTGGGTTTGGGAGAGGGCCCAGGGGCAGGGGAAGGTACCCCCACATGCAGCCTCCCCTCCCCTTAGCTCAAACAGGTCGAGTTGGTGAGTAGCAGGCACAGTGGGCGGTTCGGGGTCCGGCTGGGCCTGCGCGATAGGCTCAGGGTGAAGTCACCCCTGGTCACCCCGGGCCAGAGCCCAGACGCACCTGCTGCCCAGTCCCTGCTTCACAGACACACTTGGCTCTTCTTGGCTTGAGAACCTGGCTCCGTACGTAGATGCCAGAGCAGCTGGGTACTGTCTGCCCGTCTTCTCTGTGCCAGAGCCGAGCACCTAGTGCCACCGTCGGGGTGAGGCGACCCTCGGCGCTGTGCCTCGTCGTGGGCGGGGAGCCTGGCGGGTCTGCACTGCGGCCATGGCCTGAGTTCCCGTGGCCCTTCGTCAGTATTTGACACCACGGTCGACAGCAGTGTGCGGGCTGCCGGCGGGCCAGGCCCATTTTTTAAGCAGTCTGTTCCCATCAGACACCCTCGAATTTGTGGCCTCCTCCTGGCAGCCAGCCAAAGGGCTGGGGTGGGGCTAGGGCTGTGGCGGGTGCCTGGCAGGCTGGCGCTGTTTCTGTGCCAGTGAATGTGGGGCAGGTGGCATGGGGCCTCGCCTCCCTGTGGACGTGGGTGCCCCCTGAGACCCCTGGTCCAGCCACGAGGGCAGAAGGCCGGCCGCTTTGTGGGGCACTCCTGCAGACAGGAGGGGACGCTGGGTCATCCGGGTGCCGTCCGTTCGTGGTCTGGGAAGGGTAATTTTCCTGCCCGCGTAGACACTTCCCTGAGCAGTTCTGGGGCCTGGCAGCTGGTTCCTCTCTTCCCAGGGCGTTGGCCAAGGACGAAGTCCTGCAGGGGACACTTCCACACTCCACAGGAAGCTGGGGGGCTGGTTTAAACCATGACACCCCCGTGGGCCTCCTCTGGGTTCCTTGGGGGCCCCGTGTGGGTCTGGGCGCCCTGCACTGCTGCCTGGTCACTTCGTGGGCAGGAACCGCGTGCGCAGCACGTGCAGTGTGGGTGAGTGTGCCAGGGTAGAGCTTGTCCTTCAGATGCCATCTGTTTGTGAGCTTCAAGGGGGCCCCAGGCCAGGGTGCAGACACTGTGGAGAGGTTGAAGGGGGCAGGGCTTGGCCTGAGCGAGGGCTGGTCACCGGCCACCCCGCCGAGAGATGAGCTCCGTGTGCAGGGCCCTGAACATAGCAGATTTATGTTTTCAGCTGAGCCAGGAGGGCCAGCAGCCTTCTGTGTTCTCGTCACCGCAGGCCTGTGTCGGACACGGGTGTGGAGGCCTGCGGGGACCAGAGTGGCCCTCCAGCTCCGAGCAGTGTCCTGGTGGCCCATAGCCCCAGCCCTGGATTTCCAGTGTGGTCTGTCTGGGGCTGAGATTGCAGACCCAAGCCCCCTCTGGCGGTTCTGAGCAGACAGCTGGCCATGGGTGGTCACCCCATAGAGTGACAGGAATCCGCCCTGACCCTGAAGCCCAGCGTAGGGCAGCTCAGAACCTCGTTAGGCTGCAGGGACTCGCTGGGCACTCAGTTGCATGCTCTGGTCACCGGTAGGGATGCTGTGGTCTGGAAGCCAAGGCTGCACGGGCATGTGCCCTCCCTGGTACCCCACAGTCCCGGGGCGGCACCTTCCTTCCTGCACCATGCACCCCAGAGGGCCTGAGCTCCCCATAGGGCATCCCCTGAACACAGACCAGCCAGGGCCTCCAGCACTCCACCCCTCACCCCCCAGGGGACAGGTCTGGGCTGCTGTCTGTCCTCTCATCTCTCTGTGCACATTACGCTCCCAGCAGAACCACCTCCCTTCCTCATGCTGCCCAGAGCTCGCAGGTGAACTAAACGAGAGTAGGTGAATCTGAGTGCACACGTGGCTCCTTGGGATGCCTGGTTCTTCCCCGTCCTCAGACACAGGAGCAGTGGTTTGTCTTCCGGGGCTAGTGTGTGGGGGTGCCGCCGCCGATGCCCTCCAGAGAGCAGGGTGGCTGTGTGGGGCGTCCTGGGGAGGGGCCAGGGGCAGGGACAGACAGACCCTCCAGGCCAGGGCAGCCTTGCTGAGTGACCTTGGCCATGCTTGAGCCCTCCTTGCCCGGCCAACCTCTGCCCGCCTGAGTCCCTGGAAGGCGCGGTGCGCTGGGGGCGCAGGCCCTCCCGGCCCGCTTATCTGCTCCCCAGCTGGGCACAGACTGTTAGGGCGTCCCAGACACGAAAGCCAGCGTGCCGCCGGTCAGCACAGACGGGCTCTGGGGATCGCAGGGTCCAGCAGCCTGTAGTGATCAGTGACAAGGGGCCTCGCCGGCCCTGGTGGAATGGAAACACCGGATGAGGCAAGTGTAGCAGAGTCAGCTGCTTCTCTCCCCCCAAGACAGGGCTGCTTGTATTCCCTAATGCTCACTGCGGCCCGGTCAGGGCCGCTGCTTGAGATCCAGGATTGGCCTCAAACCTGCAAAACAATGTATCTTTTTGCACTTGGAAAACCTCCCATGGGCCCTGTGGCCCCCCAACCCCAGTGACTGAGTGCTCCTGGCTGACAAGAGTGGGGTTTCCCGCCTCAACCAGGGGCTCCTGAAAACTCTGTTGAAAAGCCGAGTGGTATGCTTTGCCCTTTTTTTTGGTTTTGTTCTCTTTTTCTTTTTTGGGGACTCTATTTGCAGAGATGCACACTTTTCCGTCTGAAGGTTGGGCTTGTCCTGGACCTCGGCCCTCAGCGAAGCCCTGCGCACTGACTCGGGGACCCCACGGAGCCCAGGAAGCTGGTCCTTTCTCTGAACTGCTGGCCTCAGCTCCTCGCACACAGATGACTTGCTTAGAACGTGGTGGCTCGTCCCGTGTGCACTGTCCTGCCTAATCCTGTGGTCTTGTGTCGTTTCTTTCTCCCTTGCAGGGTCTGCCTTGAAGCGTCTCTGTCTGGGCAAAGAGCACAGCAGTCGTAATTATCAGTTTGTTCACCCCTTGTCCGCTCTCCATCGCATGGGCTTTCTTGCGGCTCCTGTGCGCCAGGGTTCTGGGCTCGGCCTGGAACCATGGGGCTGGCGAGCGGGCGTACGCGGTCCTGCTCTGTGCCCACCCTCTGGGGGCACCGCTTTGCCTCCACCTAGAAAGACAGCACCCCTGGGGCCCCTCCACATCCCAGTTGCTTTCTCCAGCTCACACCTAATGGGCCGCCCTCTCAGAACATCCACACACGGCCAGTCGCTAATTGGCCCCTTTCCCAAACGGGAGGAGTATTTCCTTGGAGTGCTCAACCACGTGCCAGAGGAGAGATGCAGGACACAGTGGGATTCGCCTCCCGGGGCCGCCCACCGCTCTCATCTTGTGCCTTTTTTCTTCTTTGTTTTTTTCTTTTTCCTTTTCTGGCTGAAATGTTCATGTGGGTACAGCTCCGTGTGTCGACTCTCATCGCTGATGTTCAGCCGCTGTGTCTGTGCCTTGTTGTCACTGGCCACTAACGTAAACGGCATTTTGCAATAGCTTGTTTGAGGAGATGGTCATTCGATTCTTCTTTAAGTGCAGGACTTTTTAAAAGTGGCTTATTCAAAATCGCCAGCCAAAAATTATATGTTGGCGGAAGGGAAGGGATGCAATTTTTTTTAAAAAGTAAAAAGTCCTGTTTTGGTCATTTGAAACAATCTTTCAGTGAAGTGGTGAGTACTCTTGTCTTTGTCCGGAGCCTCACGGCCAGACCTCCCCAGCAGCCTGGCCTCCCGCTGCCGGCCGCCGCCCCTCGGAGGGTGCCAGGTTGCGGGCCCATTACGTACAGAAGGCTCTGGGTGTGCGCCCTTCATCAGTACCTTCCCCATGCTCTGGTGAGGAGAGGGGCAATTTCTGCCTCTTAAACTCCAAACCACCAAGCCCTTTAGACCCAGGAAAGCCAGCGGCCCATCCTGTCGCAAGCATTTCCATGCCGGAAGGATCGCAGCAGCTTGCTGTCGAAGCCTCCCCTTTGGGTCCTGACGTCCGTGCTCAGCCTGCAGAGGCTGGAGCACTCTGCCCCCCCCCCCCCGTCTGTCCCAGAGTTCCCTGGGCTCTGGGGCCGGCGGGCCTGAGCAGCGTGGGCACCGTGAATGCCCAGGAAGGCTGCCGGCAGTGGGTCCTGCCCCCGGGCTGGCTGATGAGATGGCAACACAGCCAGTCCCCTGTGGCTTGCGGAGCTGCTTGGCCATGTCGAACGCTGCACAGGGTTCCCCCAGTGCAGACCATCTCCTGAAGCAAGGTGTTGCCTAGCCGACGTGAGACCATTGAGCAGCCGCCCCTGTTGCTGTGACGATGTCACCAATCGTGGCCTGTGTGTGCCTCCCCAGGGTCCTCCACCAGCAGCCTGGTCCCAGGCCCCGAGGCGGGCCCCCCACCTGCCCTGCATGTCCAGGCTCAGGTGAACAACAGCAACAACAAGAAAGGCACTTTCACGGACGACCTGCACAAGCTGGTGGACGAGTGGACCAGCAAGACGGTGGGGGCTTCGCAGCTGAAGCCGTCGCTCAACCAGCTGAAACACACACAGAAGCTGCATGACATGGAGGCGACGGCTGGCTGGCCCCCGGCCCCCCGCGAGGTGCGGGCTGTAAGTGGGGCGTGGCCGGGTCAGAGGGACAGGGTGGGAGCAGGGCTGTGACCCCGGATTTCAGCAGAGCAGCAGCTCACAGCCTGCAGCTGGGTGGCCTCTAGGCGGGGCTGCCCAGATCTCGTGGTGCAGACAGGTCCTGGTGGGCCCACTCCACCTAGCCTCCCTGTGACCTCAGGCTGGAGATGTGGGGGGGTCTGCAGCTGCACCCGGGGCCCCCCGTTGTTGGGCTCAGGGAAGCCTGGACCCAGTGGAGTGGAAGCCAGGAACTTGTCTTGGGTTTGTGGTGGGAAGCTTCCTGTGTGAAGACTGCCTATGTCAGACCCACCTGGAGGAGTTTGTGCAACATTGTATTTCTTCCTGGAATGTTTAGCAAAGTTCACTGGTGTGAGGTCCTCTAGCCTAGAAGGTCTTGTTTTGAGTGTGGAAAGGCTCACCTAAGACCTGTGACATGTGGAATAGTTCAGAATTCTGCTGTGGACACTCCTACATGCCGCTGCGGTTGACTTTCTCTTTTTAATCTTCACACGTCTTCGGCCCTTGAGGGTCAGGTTTCGTTATGGGTTCAGTGTCTTTCATAGCTCTAGTGCCCTGTGAAGTTTCTTTCTTCTGTTAAACCCTGCTTTTCTAGCAATTGGCACATCTCTAAATTTATCTACGTTTTCCAATTAATTGGCATTAAGGTTCCCTTTTCACGGTTTGCAGGATCTGCAGTGATGTCTTGTGTTTCTCTCCTGTTGGTGATTCCTGCCTGTGTGCACGCTCACCCTTCAGGGGTTCATGCATATTTGTTCTTGTTAATCCTCACCTGAGGATGTTTTTTTCCATTGATTTTTAGAGGGAGGGGGAGAGAGAGAGAGAGAGAGATCTATGTGAGAGAGACATTGATTGGTTGCCTCTCACACGAGTCGCTACCAGGACCGGAGATTCAACCTGCAACCCAGGTACGTGCCCTTGACCAGGAATTGAACCTGAGACCCTTCAGTGCGTGGGCCAACACTCTAACCACTGAGCTTGCCAGCTAGGGCTAGATTTTATTAGCCTCATCAAGGAACTCTTCTTGGATTTGATAATATTCTTTACTGTCTGTTTCATTAATCTCTTCTATCTTTGGGTTACACTGTTTTGTTCTAGAAAGTGTCTTGAGATGCATTGTTCACTGATGTCCAGCCTTTTTCTTTTCTAATACAAGCTCCAGGCATAAGATTCCCTCTCAGGGTTTAGCTGCAGCCCAAAGGCTTATGGCATAGCATGTTCGTTGACCTTCAGTTTAAAATATTTTGCAGTGTCCTATGTGATTTTAAATACTATAGTTATTAATTTCCTCGTGATCTTTTTATTAACGTTTTCGCCAAATTGCACTGATCAGAGAATACACTTGAGTGTTTTCAGTTGGTTACAACTTGTTGGGGCTGACTTTCTGACTCAAGTTGCCAGTCTTGGTCATTGCTCCGTGGACGACCGAGGCCCAAGCCTTTCATTCCCTCTGACGTCCAAACCCCCGTCTGCGCCTCCCTTTTTCTGTCCTACACGGGAGTACACGTTCCTGACAGCCACACCCTGCAGGCTGACTCCTCCAGGCCACTCTGCGTCACTCTGCCACAGAGCTGGGAGTCCTTAGCACGGCCCGAGGCCCTGGGGTCTGCACCTTGAACCCTGGGCAGGCTCCTCAGCTCCGCCCTCGACCCCACGCTGCTCTCAGGTGGAGACGTGTACTGAGGTGTTTTGTTTGTTTGTCTTTGTTTCTTTACTATTTTTTTAATGGTAAATCTAAATAACATATGGTTTACCAATGTAGTCATTTTTAAGTGTGTGATTCAGTAGCACTAAGTGTGTTCACAGGGTTGCATAGGCGTCGCCACTGTTCATATCTAGGACATGGCATTGCCCCAGACGGAAACGGCTCATGGGGAAGTGACTGGCCTGTGCACCGAGGGGCCGTGGGCTTGATTTCTGGCTAAGGGTGCCTATCTGGGTTTCGGGTTCAATCCCTGCCCCTAGTCAGGGTTGTATAGGAGGTGACCAATCAATCAGTGTGTCTCTGTCACGTCAATGTCTCTCTCTCTCTCTCTCCCTTCCACTCTGTCTGAAATTCAATGGAAAAGTATCCTCGGGTGAAGATTAACACACAAAAAGAACCAAAAAGATGCCCTGGCCAGTTTGGCTCAGCGGTTAGAGCGTCAGCCTAAGGATATGAGTCGTGAGTTCGATTCCAGTCAAGGGCATGTATCTCGCTTTTGGTTTGTCCCCAGTCCTGGTCAGGGTTGTGTGGGAGACAACCAGTCGATGTGTCCCTCTCACATCAATGTTTCTCCCTCCCTCCCTCATACTCTGTCTGAAGATAAATGGAAACATATCCTCCAGTGAGGATATAAAAAAAAAGAAATAACTGTTCAGTTCCCTCCTGTGGAACCTCTGGTTACCCAGCCCCTGTTAACTTTCATTCTACTCTCTGCTTCCATGAACTTGAGGACTCAGGGTGCCTCAATAAGTGGAATCACCACCCCTTCCCGTCTGGCTGCCTTCACTCAGTGTTTTCAAGGCACATCTGTGTTGTCGCATGTTTTAGAACTTCGTCCCCCCCCCCCCCCATTTTTAAATTGTGGTAAAATACATATAACATATACATTACTATTGTTGTCCCGAATTTATTTTGCAAAACTGAAACTCCATACTCATTGAAAAGTAACTCCCCATTTATACCCCCGCCCCCCACCGGCAACCACCATTCTGCTTTCTGTCTTTATGAATCTGACTACTCTAGGTCCCCCTATGAGTGGAATCATGTAGTATTCGTCATTTTATAACTGGCATATTTCATCTTGCGCAATGTCCTCAGGGTTAATCTAGATTGTAACATATGTCAGGATTTCCTTCCTTTTTAAGGCTGAATAAGATTCCATGTGTATAGACCACAATTTGTTTACCCATTCACACACCCTTGGACGCTTGGGTTGGCCTTTTGGCTATTGTGAATGCTGCTACAAATGTGGATGCACCGCCATCTTTTTAAGACCCTGCTTTATTTCTTTAAAAAAAATTTTTTTTTCTTTATTGATTTTGGAGAGAGAGAGAGAAACATCGATGAGAGAGAACATCGATTGGCAGTCTCCTGCACACCCCCCACTGAGGATCGGGCCCACAACCTGGGCATGTGCCCTGACCTGGAATCGAACCGGTGACCTCTTGGTGCAGGGTCCACGCTCATCCACTGCGCCACACCGGCCGGCTGCTTTGATTTCTTTGGGGTGATATCCAGCAGTGGAATTGGTCATATGGTAATTCTGTTTCTAATTTTTTGAGGAATTGCCAAACTGTTTTCCATGGTGGTGAAACCACTTTATGTTCCCACCAGCAATACACAGAGGTTCTCATTGTTACTGATCTTTTTCATTGCCTGATTATTTTAATAGTGGCCATCCTAATGGATGTGAGTTCTGGTATCTCATTATAGCTTTGATTTGCATTTCTGTAATGATTTGTGATGTTGAAATGTTTTCATGGGCTTATTGGCCATTTGCATATCTTCTTTGGAAAAATCACAATTCAAGTCCTTTTCCCATTTTAAAATAGCATTGTTGTTTGTTGTTGAGTTTTAGGAGTTCTTTATTCTGGATGTTAATCCCTTATCAGACAAAATTTGCAAATATTTTGTGTCATTCTGTGGATTGCTTTGTTACTCTGTGGATTGTGCCTTTTGGTGTACAGAAGGTTTTAATTTTCATGAAGACAGTGTATCTTTTTTTTTTTTCTTTTGTTGCCTCTGTTTTTGGTGTCATGTCCAAGTAATCACCGCCAAATCCAACGTCATGAAGCTTCCTCTCTGACTCCTTCTAGTTTAATAATGAGCTCTTACGTTGATCCCTTGAATCCATTTGAATTAATTTGTGTATATGGTATTAGCTGAGGGTTCAACTTCATTCTTTTGCATGTGGATATTCAGTTTTCCTTCATTCTTTTGCATGTGGATAGCAGTGTTTGTTGAAAAGACTGTTCTTTCCCCCATGGAGTAGACTTGGCAGCCTTGTTGAAAATCAATTGACCGTGTGTGCAAGGGTTTATTTCTGTACTCTCTGTTCTACCCCGTTGGTCTGTCTGTCTGCCCTTTTACTAGTAGCATACTATTTTGCCTTCTGTAGCTTTGTGGTAAGTTCTGATGCCAGTAAGTATAAGTCCTCCAACTTTGTTTTTCTTTTTTAACATTGTTTTGGTTATCTATGGTCCATAAAGAATCCTAATGATGGTTTTGTTTTAGGATTGGTTTTTTATTTCTTGAAAATAATGTCATTGAGGCTTTAGTAGTGATTGCATTGAATCTATATATCACTTTGAGTAGTATTAGCATATTAACAATGCTAAGTCTTCCAATCCATAAGGGATGTCTTTCCATTTATTTACATCTTTCTTAATTTCTTTTAGCAGTGTTTGTAGTTTTCAGTGTGTTAGCCTTTTCACTCCTTAAATTAATTACTGTTTTATTTTTTATTTTTATAGTATTGTGAATGTGTTGTTTTCTTCTTTTTCTTAATCCTCACCTGAGAATGCTTTTCCATTATCCTTAGACAGAGTAGGAGGGAAGGAGAGAGAGAGAAACGTCGATGTGAGAGAGACACATGACTGGCTGCCTCCCGCACGACCCTCACCAGGGCTGGGGATGAACTGCAACTGAGGTACGTGCCTTTGATCAGAATTGGACCCACGACTCATTGGCCCACAAGCTGACAATCTAACTGCCAAGCCAGACCGGCCAGGGCCTGAATGTATTTTCTTAATTTCTTTTTTAGATTGTTTGTCATTAATGCAACTTTACTGAATTTATGAATTAGCTTCAACAATTTTTTGGAGGATTTTTAGGATTATCTACAGATTGTGTCAACTCTGAACAGAGATAATTTTACCTTTCCTTTCCAATATGGTTGCCTTTTATTTTTTTATTTTTTCTTGCCTAATTTCTCTGGCTAGAACTCTTGATACTATATTGAATAAAAGTGGAAAAAGCA